AAGTCTAAGGAAAATGTACTTAGCAATGATAAAATCAATTAAGTACATATTGAATGCCAACTATGTATCCCCTGCTATGTCAGGCACTGTGGCTAAAGAGGTGTGTATATTATTACATGGTCTCTTTATCTCCACAAAACTAATAGTGACTTCTGTAGTTGGAGTGACAAGGTCAAAAAGCTCAAATTAATTAAAGAATACAAAATGTTAAGTGCTACACTGTGAGGGAAAAGTGCTTGCAAGATGATAGCTAACATTTTTATTAAGCACGCACCACGTAGCAGGCATTGTTGAAAGCACTGTACATAAATTATCTCATTTAAGGCTCACAATCCTGTGAAGTAGGTTATTATTAACTCTACTTTATCAATGAGGAAACTGAGAAAGAGAGAGGCAAAGCAATGTCTAAGAAGCAGATCGAGGATGCAAACCCAGGCAGTATGCCTCCTAAGACTGCCCACCGACTATTAAACTATAGTGGGGCAAGGGTACTGAATGTCTACTGTGTGCCAAGGACTACACTAGGCACTTTCAAACATCCCCTTTTAACAATTCAATTCATTTTACAGATGTGGCTATTGATTAAAGGGAAAATAACCTGCTCAAGGTTAATAGTACAGTAGAAGACAGATCTGCTAACCCTAAAGACCATGAACTTTCTGATTTCACTTCATTTTTAGAAAGCAAAGGAAGACTTTATTCCAAAGGGCAGGATTTAAACACAACTCAAAGGATAGGATTGGTATAATTTAGTTAGCCAGTAAGGTATGGAGAGGAAAGATGTTAAAGAAAGGAAGAACTTAATGAGCAAACACTTGGACCCAAAAATAGAGTTGAGGGAGGTTAAGAAAAACAGCCTGTTTGTAGCAAAGAGGAGAAGTAGAAAATATGGCTAACTTGGGTTAAGGTCACAGAGAGTGAAAGCAAGGTGGAATGTTAAAATCTGATGCAGGAAACAACAGAAAGCTACCATAGGCTCTTGAGGAAGTGAGTAGTATAATGAAAACAGGATTTAGACACACTGCTCAGAGTATTAGCAGGTTGAACTAGAATGGTGTGAAATGACAAAAACACTAGGAGTATGCAGCTGAAATGCAGATGTTGAGCTGATGAATACTTAAGAGGATGGCAATGAAATATAAAAAGCAAGGGACAAATATGGAAGTAACTTTGAAAGAAGAACCCACAGGACTTCATGATAATCAATTTTAAAAGTTCAGTAGGTCGCGCACGGTGGCTCACGCCTGCAATCCTAGCACTCTGGGAGGTCAAGGTGGGTGGATTTGCTTGAGCTCAGGAGTTCAAGACCAACTTGACCAAAGCAAGACCCCGTCTCTACTAAAAATAGAAAAACTAGCTGGGTGTTGTGGTGGGCACCTATAATCCCAGCTACTTGGGAGGCTGAGACAAAAGGATCTCTTGAACCCAAGAGTTTGAGGTTGCTGTGAACTATGACGCTACAACACTCAACTCCAGGGTGACGGAGGGAGACTCTTGTCTCAAAAACAAACAAACAAAAAACTTATACAGCTTCTGATTTTATCAATAAATTACCAATATAAAGATCTTTAATCCCTTCAGAGTTAACTAAGAGGCCATTAAGATTTTACCTATCTATGCCTCAGCAATGGTTGCCCAGAACCTTTGTTCCACAATAAGCAGAGTCAAATAATTTTCCTCTCTACCCACATTTAACTGATAACAACTGTTTGTACCAGGCAGTCAACCTTAACTGTACCTACAACAACCCACACAATGAGCTGCTGTATTTCAGCTGATGTGCCCAGTAGTTCAAAATCTTCTGTGGTTAAACAGTTTAGAAAAAAGAATGGCTATTCTCTCAAATTTTCAATGGGTAGAGGTCCTTGCAGGGCTGTGTGGGTATATGGATTTATGTCTGCAAGCTCAATTCTAAGGGCATACTTAGGTACGCTGGCCATGTCTTGGAGAGGTTTAGGGATAAGGATTTGCTTGATAACTGGGTAAAGGCAATGTTATCGTATTGATTCCAAATTTCCAATTTCTCACCAAATAATCCCAAGGGAAGAATTTCAACTCACCCTTCTTAGGATCATAGGATATAGTAGGTAACACAAAGTACAAAGAGAAAGAGACAGGAGGAGTCTTCAAAAGGTAAAAAAGCCTCATTCGTTCAAATTAATTGAATATAATTTATTATGCATCAAGACCCTCTATGATCTGATCCCTGGCTCCTCTCTGACCTCTTTTTCCATTCTGCTTCCCTTCTTTAACTGTAGGTCAGTCACACTCGCCACCCTGCGCTTCTTTGAACACACCAAGGTCTTTGCTCTAGTCCTCTACCCATAATGCCCTCCCCAGCCCTCACTTTATCCAGGTGTCTGTCCACTGGAATGTCACCTCACCTCCTCAAATGTAGTTTTCCTTGACCAACTACCTAAACTAGCACACCTACACTCCCTTTCCTCTCATTTGCTATCTATTTACCCTGCTTTATTGTTTATAGGTATTATTATTTGATATTTATATGCATATGTATACACATTTACATGCTATCAGGGCAGGGATTTTTTTTAAAACTTTATTCAAATTAATATGAGGGTACAATATTTAGGTTACATTGTTCATGGCAGGGATTCTGTCTCTTGTTCATTCCTCTACCCCAGCAATAGCAGGTTCTCAAAGAATATTTGTTGCATAGTAGATGAATCATGGAATAAGTCATGTCCCCAGCCTCAAATGAGTTAACAATCTAGCAGAGGAGCTAGACACACCACAAGAAGAGAAAGCACTACAGCTTCAGGTATTTTTCTCACAGAGTGTCCTCTGGGGAATGACAAAACAAGTCACTTGTATATGTGAAGTGTTAGCTTGAAGTGTTAACTTTTATAGAACTGTAATATTAATTAAAATGTATAAAAAAGCAAACTGCTGGTCATAAGAGACCTGTTTTCACATTCAGATATTGTCATTTATTTGCTGGGCAATTATTTAACCTTTCTCAATTGGTTTTCCAGCCCAGAAAATGAGAACACTATCGTTACTTCACAGGGTTGTTATAAATTTACGATAATGCATGTGAAGCACTTTTCATACTATCTGGCACATAGCTATACTCAAATGTCAGCTATCAATATCATTAATGGTGACTCCAATGATCCTCTTGAGCCCAATGCCCAAACAATAGCTAAATCTTACCAATTCTATCACCAAGGAAACCTCCCCCATCCTTTTCATTTTCACAGTCCCTAACTGGTGCCTCTGTTACCAGTCTTTCTCCTCAATTTCACTTTCCTAAAGAATGGAAATCCAAGCCCCTTAGCTTAGCATTTAATGTCCTTCATGTTTGGGCCTCAACTTACCTTTCCAACACTTTTTTCTCCACTACTTTCTAGAGTCCACTACTCTGGCCAAATTAAACTACTCTACTTTTCTATATAAACTCTATGCTTTCTCACTACCATGCCTTCCTGGAATGCTCTTCTCTTTACTATCCAAGGTTTATATCCTTTCCATGTTATTTCCAGACCTAGCTCAAATGCCACAATGCCTTCTCAAATAAAAATGATCTCTCTCTCCCCAGAATACTGATATAATTTATATCTTTTCTATAGCACTGATCCCATTCAACTTTATATTTTAGTTGTTTATGTATTCCAAGGCTCCCTCTTGAAAGATCTGTGCCCGTCATACTTACTACATGACCTGATAGACAAATATATGTTGAACGAGTATTTCACAAATTGATGTTAAAATTAGATTTAGCCTCAACAAGAAAATTTCACACTCGAACCAGAATTTTCTGATCTAACCTGTACTACAGCTCCTCCATAAAAGGTAATTAGAACACAAAGTACTATACTTTCTAACATGTGGTCATATTAAAAATTTTTTCTTATGGACTTAACAGGCTATATAGTCTTCCTTCCACTTCTAAATCACCCAGTCTCAATCGCTTCCCATCAGAGACTTTCCATCTCTCAAGTTCTACAATATATGTTTAAATTTAAAAGCAAAGTGACATATTGTTCCTTCAAGACCAACTATCACTACCAATTAACAAAGTATAGCCAAGCTCACAAAAACACAATAATAAACAACAAGATGATGATCAACATTCTTTCTCAGTAAGGTTCCTGCTGACCTCCTGTTTATAAGACTCTGAGGTGATTTTTAAGCACAAAAAAAACCTGTATTTGACTCCTTCAGCCACAGTCTCACTGGGACCCTAAATGGTGAGAAGGGAGTTTTAAAGACAAACAATAACATTCCTTACTTGCTATGTGGTTGTGGCTAAGTCCCTGAGCTTCTCTGTGCATCAGATTTGTTCAAAAGACTAGCTAAATAAGGAAAACACAAGACCCATTTGCTTGAAATCCAAAAATATACCCAAATTCTTTGCTACAAAAGACAAAATAATGTAAATTGAAATGTTTTCGGTGAATTCTCTTTACTAAAACAGAAGTCAGGTACCAGTCATTGTGTTTGATTTCCGAATTTATTACAGGAAGAACTGTGTATTAAGTCACCCAAACACATGCACTCTCCACTTCCCTTAATTGAAAGTTACTGATTTCCGAGGAGCCAGCAGCTGAGCAGAATGTAAACCTAAAGCCTAAATGGTAAACAACTATGATCCAAACTGGCCAAAGAAGAAAACGAGGTGAGTGGGAAAGAAGATGACGGGAAAAACTCGGCTGACCACAGCGCCAAGTCAACGCACTCAGTGCTCTAGAGGTGACACACACACCCTCCCACTCTCGGGCTGTCAAGTCTGCTGTTTTGGCCCCTTGTGAGGGCAGAACTCTGGAGAAGAAACTCGAGCCTTAGCTGGTGATAGGGACCCTTGGGTCGCCCGGGCCTGATTTGAGAATGGCAACCCGCCATCCCCAGAGTGGAGAGCCCGAGACGGCCTCAGGTGTGGCCTTGGCTGTGGCCCCAGCCGGGCTCTGCGTCCAGGCAGCCTCAGCCAGGCCTGTCCCCGGGACAGCTCCCGCCCCCCAGCTCGGTTCCCAGCTCACTGGCTTGGCTGATCCGCTGAATGTTGCCACTGCACGTCTGGATGATGCTGCTGAAGTCCCGGAGCTGGGGGCCCGAAGGCCCCGGGTTCCGGTACATGTCTAAAGGGCCGTAGGACATGACGAGGAGCAGAGACCGGCTCTCCCCACACGGCTTTCCTGACGGAATCTGCCGCCTGAGACCGGCAAGCTGGCGATGAAACCGGGAAGAGCAATGACGGGGAAGGAGCCGAAGTTGCGTGCGCACCAGCCCCGCCCACACGCAGCGCGCACGCGTCCGCCCCGCCCCACAGTGCGCAGGCGCTGCTAGAACTGGTGCTGGGACCTTAGCTTAGAGCCTGGGCTCCCCCAGGCTTGGGGATGAGGGGCGGGGCCATGACGTCACATAGTTGGGGCTAAGATTGGATGAGCTTGGGTGGCGGTGTTGTTTCTGACTAGGGCACAGTGACAAGAGGAAAGAATTTTCGATTTGCATAAAATTGTACCCGATGATCTCAGCCATTGTATCCTATTCTGTTCTGTTCTGAGAATCCAGGCCCAAATATGGGAGAATTTCACAACCTTGAAATTTAGACCCATAAGCAAATTGTTACCCGAAATTCCTCACACTACTTCCATCCTCTTTAGTAGTAATTGCTGAACGCTTTTATGGTTTGCAAACCACTTTCATTTCTCCTTCTGCCCTTCTTTTAATCTAAACAATAAATAATATTTATTGAACACGTACTATGTGTGAATCCTCACTACTATTAGTTTGTTCATAAGCTCTTTAACAGAAGAGACGATGTTTTATTTATATTTTTATCTCAAGAACAGATAACGGACTTTTTCAATGTTGAAGTAAAGTTAACTTGACAGAGCAAGCATTATTGTTTTCCCTTTTAAAGATAATAAAATTAAGACCAGAGAGGTTGCACTGAAGTTTGACTGCAAAACTCAAACACTAAGTTGATTTCATAATCATTTCACTATTTCCCTAAAATTCATTCTCCATCTAAATCTCTCCTAAATAGCCTGTTCATCCATATCCCAAACTGAGATTTCTTGGAGAAATAGACTTTCAAAATTTAAAAATCTTCCCTTAAGTAATTTGGAGCATATGACCTCAACGTTCCCGTAGAAGACTGCATTTTATAAGCCTATGGAAAAAGGAAAGACATAAATAGGATTTTGGCTTGAGAGACCAAGGTGATGACAAAGAAGGGAAAATGAGGGAGTGGCGCCTGTGGCTCAAAAGGGTAGGGCGCCAGCCCCATATGCTGGAGGTGGCAGGTTCAAACCCAGCCCTGGCCAAAATAAATAAATAAATAAATAAATAAATAAAGGGAAATGGGGCTTGGCACCCATAGCACAATGGTTATGGCACCGGTCACATGCCCTGAGGCTGGTGGGTTCAAACCTGGCTCGAGCCAGCTAAACAATGACAACTACAACAAAAAAATAACTGGAGCTACTTGGAAGGCAGAGGCAAGAGAATCGCTTAAGCCCAAAGAGTCGAAGGTTCTGTGTGACGCCATAGGACTCTACTGAGGGCCACATAGTGAGACTCTTTCTCCAAAAAAAAAAAAAAAAAAAAAACAGAAAAAGGCAGTAACTTCTGTATTCTCAACCCCACTCTACCTAGCCTAGTTTAGAGTGTTTGGGAAAGGCAAACAGAAAAGCAACTTGCCTGACTGGGAGGAAACCCCAAATGTGTAAATGAGCTCCTAAAGCTTTCAAAAACTAAGGCTGTGGGCGGGTGTGGTGGCTCACACTTATAATCCTAGCACTGTGGGAGACCAAGCTAATGGACTGCTTAAGCTCAGGAGTTTGAGACCAGCCTGAGCAAGAGCAAGACCCCATCTCTACTAAAAATAGCATGACGTTGTGGCAGGTGCCTGTAGTCCCAGCTACTTGGGAGGCTGAGGCAGGAAGATTGTTTCAGCCCAGAAGTTTGGGTTGCTGTCAGCTACAACACCATGGCACTCTACCCAAGGTGAGAGAGTGAGACTCTTTCTCAAAAAAAAAAAAAAAAAAAAATAAAACCTGAATAAAAAAGAAAAAAAAAAACATGAACAATAAAAAAATAATCATTTCTTAAATGGTTATTAGGTGCCAGGTAATGTGAACATATTTTGCATACATTATCAGGAATCTCTAAGATAAAGACCTTCCGATAAAAACCACCTGTGGTCTAAAAAAGTTCAGTTTATTAATTAGCTGCTGTAAGGGAAACTACACACCAAAGGAATCATGAGGCATGTCACCAAACATGAGAAGAGAGAGTTATTCCAGGATTTGGAGGAAAGATAAAGTGTAAAATTTGAGGCTCGGCGCCTGTGACTCAAGCGGCCAAGGCGCCAGCCACATACACCTAAGGTGGCGGGTTCGAATCCCCAGCCCGGGCCCGCCAAACAATGACGGCTGCAACCAAAAAATGGCCAGGCGTTGTGGCAGGCGCCTGTAGTCCCAGCTACTTGGGAGGCAGAGGCAGGAGACTCGCTTGAGCCCAGGAGTTGGAGGTTGCTGTGAGCGTGATGCCATGGCACTCTACCCAGGGAGATAGCTTGAGGCTCCGTCTCAAAAAAAAAAAAAGTGTAAAATTTGAAAGAAGCAATGTTTGGATAGCCTCAAAGCACACCATGCTTTGTGTAAAGGGATTATCATCAGGCCTAAACTAACAAGAGGACTCAGGATCCTGTTTCCTTGGAAACTACAACGAGAAGATAAATGTGGAATGTTGTATATGGAAACCCATTATCTAAAGCTCTGCACCTGGGTTAGAAATTGGGGCTGGTCCTGTCAAAGTAATTCAGATCCTGTAAGAGTGATATATTCCATTCCTAATGGAATAATAATTCAAACAGTAAATTTTCTGATAATCTGTAACTTTAGAGAACAGGTTTCTCAGCACTATGTTTTGTTAATTAACAAAAATTGTCTTCATGGGTTTGTACCCATCATAGTGAGATTAGTTTCCTGGTACAAATAAGGAAACTCTAGAGATTCTGGGTGCTTAACCCGATGCCATACAGGTATTACATGGAAAAGCCAGACTTCATTCATACCTTATGACCCAGTAATTCTTCTACTCCTAACTATACACCCAAGAGCTATGCATGCACGCATGTTCCAAAACCCAGGTATAGTTCATAGCAACACTTTTAGGACCAAGCAATTATTTTTCTGTACCTACTTTTTATTGAATTAGTTATAGCTGATACATAATAGAATGCACAGATATTAAGTGTTCAGTTCACTGAATTTTGACATTTGCATACCACCCAACCGAAGTTTTTTTTTTGGTTTTTTTTTTTTTAAGATAAGAGTCTCATTTTGTGGCCCTTGGTAGAGTGCTATGATGTCACAGCTCACAGCAATCTCAAACGCTTGGGCTCAAGCGATTTTCTTGCTTTAGCCTCCCAAGTAGCTGGGACTACAGGCGTCTGCCACAACACCCAACTAATTTTAGAAACAGGGTCTTGCTTTTGCTCAGGCTGGTCTCAAACTCGCGAGCTCAGGCAATCCACCTGCCTTGGCTCCCCAAGTGCTAGGATTACAGGTATGAGCCACTGCACCAGTCCTAATCCAAGATATAGAACATTTTGTCACCCCCTAAATTTCCTTGATTTATGCTTCTTTTGCTTTCTTTTTTTTAGAGACAGGGTCTCACTTTCTTACCCAGACTGGAGTGCAGGGGTATGATCATAGCTCCTTGCAACCTCAAACTCCCAGACTCAAGCAATCCTCTCGCCTCAGCCTCCTGAGTGCTGGGCACACAGGCATACAGGCACACACCACCACCCTCAGCTTATTTGTTTTTTGTAGAGACTGGGTTACCCCATCTAACCCAGGCTGCCTGGTCTCAAACTCCTAGATGTCAGTGATCCTCTTGCCTAAGCCTCAGCCTTCCAAAAGTGCTGGGATTATAGGCATGAACCACCATATCAGCCACTTATGCTACATTATAATTTCTTTCATTAACAAAAATCACTTCAGATTTTCACCACTGTACATAGGTTTTACCTATGCTTGGACTTGATATGTACTCTGTTTTTTTGTCTCACTTTGTTGCCCTCCGTAGAGTGCCATGGCGTCACAGCTCACAGCAACCTCAAACTCTTGGGCTTAAGCAATTCTCTTGCCTCAGCCTCCC